TCGAACAACAGCATTTGCCAATTTACTAATTATGTGCCTATGAAATAATCAAGGTCCTTGAAGTGGCTGCAACTGAGTGGGAGAGAAGACCTAACCAAAAAAACTTTCAAGCAATTGTACAGTTCTTTTCGGTTATGCAGCATGCATTTTAGGGACCACATGTTTGTGAATTCTTTGGAAAAAAGCCATTTATTGCCCACAGCGTTACCGAATCCCTTCAGAGAGGAAAAGAGCGGTATGTACAAGACATATACAAATTAATTTCAATGTAATACAACATTTTTTTTTAGAGACCGTAGTCACATCAACAGTAAAGACAGAGCACATGGAAGAGAGTGTACAAATGCCAGAAACTGCTAATGTAACAGAGGTGGCACCACGAAAAAAATTTAAAATATTGCAGAACATTACTCTAGGTACCTAAAACTCTATCGATACATGTTTCGTGCACATCTACACTCCTTGTGGTTGAGTTCATCTCACATTCATCAAGTTAGTTCAGTTTCAAGCTAAGCTGAGATTAATCACTGGTGGTGTATATTGTTGTTTCGAAACTTATGCAGTCAGTTGCAATAAGTCAAACATGTTACTAATGGTACTTGTATTTGCAGGGTCAGCACAGCCATCAAAGCCATCAACTTCACAAGAAGCAGAAATCGTGGAGACCACGGTATCATCATCAGCAACCCAAACAGTGATGGCACTATCACAAAGAACACCAAGAAAGAGAAAATTACATGAGCAGATTCATGAACTGACACGTGAAAATAAGTTACTTAAACATGATATAGCAGCAATTCAGGTTCAACAAGAGACAGTATCAGAAACACAACAATTGGAAAATTTATGTGACAAGTTATTACCGACACAACTAGCAATGTTTGTTAAGACACAGTTGAAACTTATAAATCGAACATCTCAGGGTAGAAGATATTCCAATGCGTTCAAAAAATTCTCATTATCTTTATTCTTTCTTGGACCTAAATGTTATAAACAGCTGCAAAGAACATTTTCTTTACCATCGCCAAGATCGTTGCAACGATTTGTTCACAAAATTGATTTTGTGCCAGGCATAAATGATACATTATTCCAGATACTAAAGTTAAAAACTAGCAATATGAGAGAAGAGGATAAAATGTGTGTTTTGTGTATAGACGAATTAGCAATAAAGGCCAATTTGTTTTACAACTACGGAAGAGATACCGTCAGAGGAGTTGAAGACGATGGCATTTCAAGATCCCTCACACCAGCTAGTACTGCTGCAGTCATAATGGCTAGAGGACTAAAAAGCAATTGGAAACAGCCCTTGGGTTATGTTTTTACCTCAACAACATATTCAGTAGTGAAAACGAAAGACTTGCTAGAAAAATTTATTATAGCTTTAGACAGCGTTGATTTAAACACCATAGCCTTAGTAACTGATATGGGTTCAAACTTCATGGAATTGTCTAAATTACTGGGAGTCACGAAAGAGAAGCCAGTTTTTACACTGGGAAACAAAGAAATTTTTTATGTTTTTGACCCACCACACCTGGTGAAAGCAGTTAGGAACAATATGCTTTTAAACTCCTTCTGTTGGGATGACAAAAAAACATGCTGGCAATATATAGTGGATTTTTACAATCGCGATAAAAATCTAACCAACAGATGTGCTCCTCGTCTCACAAACGCTCATATTGCACCAGGGAAGTTTGAGAAAATGCGCGTGAAATACGCAACACAAGTATTAAGTGCCACTGTAGCTGGAAGTCTTCACACATATATTGAATTGAAAGGTCTTCCTGAAGATGCCACTGGAACCATGGAATTTGTTGCGTTTTTTGATAAATTGTTTGATATTTTTAATTCGTCAAAACTATATCCATGCAAACAATATGCGAAGCCTTTCAGTGGACAACCATTTCAAATAGAGTTTTTACAAAATGCATTAGAGTTCTTACAAAAGTTGAAGGTCATCAATGCTCGGGGTAGAGATATTACAAATTTGGTAAAATGTCTTGCTTGTTGGTGTACATCCATCAATGCTTTACTACACATATGGGCCAAATTGAAAGAACAAAATTTTGCCTTCATTTTTACCAGAAGGCTGAATCAGGATGCACTGGAAAATTTCTTTGGAACTGTCCGGCAACAATCTGGTAATGCAGTTAATCCAACTCCTGTGCAATTTGCACGTACCTTTAAAAAATTATTCATCATCAATTATTTACATTCAGAACAAATGAACTGTATGGAAGATTTTGATCAGTTACTCTTAAATTTAAGTGAGTTTCGTGAAGTATCTGTTGCATCTTTAGAAATTGAAGAAGCTGCAAATAAGTTATCTTTTGCTGTTAACAATTGTGATTATCATACTCAGCCTTTACCAGAACAGAATGCCTTCAAATACGTGTGCGGTTATCTGATTCACAAATGTCTTCAAGCTCACAAATGTGATGTTTGTACACAGTTTGCTACCGTCAATCAACAGTTAGACGATAGTAACTTGTTTGTTCATTATAAAGCGTATTCTAATGAATACTCTTTATTTGGAGGACTAAAAACACCTCATGAAAGTTTTTATAATTATATTTACTTATTAGAAAAAGTATTCTTTAGTAATATCGAAGACAAATTTGTTCAACCTAGAGTTGGTTATAGTTTGTATCTTTCATGTAAAGAAATTGTAGGTTTTACGCATCCTTGTACGAGTTTTCCTTATGATTATTTATTACAATTGTTTGTTCGTCTAAGACTTTTTTATGTCATAAAGAACAGTAACAGAAATTTCAAAAATACTTCAAAAAAGAATCGTAAAATCTGTATTCTGATGGGTTTGTGAATCACCACGTCCTACACCATCCACGGAGAAGGTGACATTTTGGCGCCCGGAACGTGGGGCCAGAGAGCAGGAAGTGACCTGCCAAACCCATGAAGACGAGGTCGGTCACCCGGAACCTCCAAGAGCTAGCCGGCATGACCAGCACAGGTCCTCACCACCTGGGGTTCGACCTCCGCCCCCAAGAGGACCTCCACAGGACGCCCCAAGACCTGGGGGACCGCCCATCGTGCCTCGAAACCGCTCCCCAAGCGGAGCAACCTCGAGGAGAAGACAACCCACCTGCACACGCCAGCCACCAGGTGTTCGCGAACCTGGAGGACGGACCCCCGCGGCACCCTCTGGTGGCCACTGCGGCCGCTCTACACCTCGGCCAACCAAAACCCGCCAACGGCTTAGATGAACAACCCAGACCGCCTGCGGAACCACACCGCCAGGACGAGGACGACGACGACGACGTCCAACGGCTACGACTGGCGAGACAAACGCGCCAGTGGACCGGACCACACTACGTCGACCGCCCCACGCTAGAGAGCAGGCACTCCGACCAGGAAAGACTCCATCGCCCCCAAGCTCCAGGGAGACGCCGCCAAGTGGTGGACCGAGTCAAAGGACTTCCTGGGCCACGGTGTACGAACGCGTTGACGATGTGCGCGACGAAACACCGCGACAACGACCATCCGCGCCAAAGTGTCGCTACTGCCCGGGGTATCATTACCACGCAAATTGCCCCGAGCTACAAGACAAGCGCAGGGCGGGAAACGTAGTTTTATTGGGCTCGGGTTGAAACCCACTTCGTGAGGTAACAATAAAGTAGCATTTATTTGAAATCCGGTAAGTAGGTTACAGGCTACCTAAGAAAATTCGCGATCGCATATCTAGACGACATAATCGTCTATTCCGACAACCCAGAGCAGCACCTAGAGCACCTGAGACAGGTGTTCGAACGACTCGCCAGCCACGGCCTACGATGTGCGCCCGAGAAGTGCCACTTCGGCAGTACAGAAATCGAATACTTGGGGCACGTCGTGACGGCCGAGAACAACCAACCCAAACCAAAACATCTGCACCAGATCCGGCTAACACAACCACCAAAAAGCCGAAGCGAGTTACGCTCGTTCCTGGGCTTATGCAACTGGGTACGGGACTTCGTACCCAGATTCGCTGAGACCTCTGCGCCCTTAACAGACCTACTCGCAATCAGAGGTAGCGCTGGACCAGCACGGAGGCTGAAGCCTTCGACAAACTGAAGAAAAAGCTGGAACAACCCGAACCTCTACACCGCCCGAGGCAGGACGTTCCGTTCATACTGCAAACGGACGCGAGCGGAATCGGCATGGCGGCGGTGCTATACCAGGAGCACGAAGGAAGAAAAATCATTGCGTACGCCAGCTCCAGGTTCAATGCCCGAGAACAGAATTATCACATTAATGAGCAAGAATGCTTAGCCGTAATCTGGGCAACACGGAAATACCGGCCCTATCTAGAAGACAGACGCTTCCAGCTCCGCACAGACAGCAAGGCCCTCACCTGGCTGAACTCAATGAAGGACCAACGAAGCAAACTAACCCGCTGGGCACTTGAACTGCAAGCCCTCAATTTCGACACCGAACATTGCCCGGGGAAACTCAACGAACTCCCCGACTTCCTGTCTCGCAACCCGACAGGGCCGGAAGAAGACACACCGGACGACGAGCATCAATTACCACCTGAGGCGACGCCATGCGCACAACCGCTGGGGGTGGAAACACTAATGGACGAAGTGAGAGACGCCCAAAGGCGCGACCCGATCGCCCAGCGCGCGCTCACGCTCAGGCGGGAATTAGACGACAGGGAGCCCAGAAGCGAAGTCGAGAGAACCTTGCAGGCCAACTTCAATCACGACAATGGCCTATTATTTAACACGGAAGGCGCCCACGGAAGACTAGTCGTTCCAAAGGACACGCGGATGCGTGTACTGTATGAACACCACGACGTCGCCCTCGCGGGTCACCCAAGCGCGGAAGAAACCCTCCGCACAATAGAAGGAACATACTTCTGGTCGCAAATGAAGAAAGAAACCGAGGGATAGGTGCGAGGCTGCCTAGTGTGCGCACAGTACAAGAGGCGCCCGCCACGGCCAGCAGCGCCGCAACAACCCCGGCAACCACAACAGCCGTTTGAGACACTGGCATGCGACCTGATGGACCCATACCCAGAAACGGCGCAGGGGTACCGGTTCATCTTCACCATAACCGACCTGTTCTCGAGGTGGGTTGAGGGGTACCCCCTGAAGAGCACCACGACCAAAGAACTAGTGAAGATCCTAGAGGACGAAGTCTTCACCAGGTTCGGTTACCCGAGGGCAATCATAACAGATAACGGGAGCCAGTTTACCGGACACGGGTGGCGCCGGGTATGCAGACACGGGCAGACGCTGCACTGGACCACGGCCCCCTACACGCCGCGACAGAACCCAATGGAAAGGCGAAACCAGGAGATCAAGAAAGCCATCCGAATCCACCTCCAAGGCGGAGAGCCGACCCACTGGGATCAAGCGCTACCGACGGCGCTCTTCCAGATACGCCGTCTCCGAAACGCCGCCACCGGAACATCACCAAGCAAGCTCCTATATGGTCGCGACCTCCCGTTCCCGGGAGAGTGGGATACACCTCAGGGAGAGGCCGCGATCGAACCCGCTGGACAGCGGGAGGAAGAAGCAAGAGAACGCCAACGTCTACGAGCCCGGGGACCTGGTGCTGGTACGCGTCCCGGAAGGAGGCCAACACTTCAGACGGAAGTGGAGCGGCCCTCACACTATCACCAGACGTGTGGGAAACTCACACATGTATAGAGTAGACATGGGTGATAAGACGCAAACCCACCACACCGACAGGATGCGACCAGCACCCCCGGTACGAGAAGATATGTAAATAGTAGAAGAATAAGCTAGGTTAAGAAGTAGAATAAGAAAAATAGAATAACATACCCATTTGCCAAAGCAGCTCCGCGCCTCCGGAAGAGGGGCGACTGTTACCACTGAGGAAAAACCCCACGACACTACGCCAGCTTGGCCACCAGCTCGGGGCCCTTCAAGGGTTGCGCGCACCCTCGCGCGCTCCTGCTTATAAGACGGACCCGCACTCAGTAGCGGCAGTTGAGTCGAGACGAGCAACACTAACACTTCGCTAACTACAGCGAACACACACCGAGGAAATCCAAGCCTCTCAATCACCACGTCCTCCACCATCCACGGAGAAGGTGACACTTTGTCGGCGCGTTTGAGCCGCGCCGACCGCCGAGCGACAGACTGAAGCCACTCCTCCGGGATCTTATATAAAGAGGCGACAGGCCGCAGCAGTCGCCAGTTCGGGATTGGTAGCGTTACTGTACTCATCTCCGAGAATAAAGACGAACTCCTGGTGAACTAGTTGTTTGCTTTACCCAGTCAACGAATAAACAGCCACCTAGTCCAAGCTGGTGCTCAACCCCACAACGTGAAGGGACGGGCCGTCCACGCCGAAGACAACGTCAAGACGCTCCCCGACCCGACAACACTCGTGATACAAGCTAAGGCAAATCCTCGCCGAATGTATATATGTTATTGTATAGACTAGGTTAGATTATAATAAAGTAAATGTCCGAGATCCGTCGAGCGGCAGTGCTCGCTCTGAAGTAAGAGCGTGGGCGCATCTGACCTATACTTATCGACTTCGGTCGACAGAGTTGGGCCGCACCCACCGCGCTGCGCCGGCCAATCGGAGCGCGGCTGCGCCTGGCAGCCGCATATAAATATAGGCTGAGTTTCAGCGATAATTAGTTCAGTTCCGACCATAGAAAACCCTACAATAGAAGCTAATGTGGTATAGGCTGCGCTTGTACTTTTCACTACGTATTTTCTTACCCACTCACCAGGGGTCGCATGAAAAGAAACCTGTAAACGCTGATTCGCGCGGATTTTCAAAATTTTAGAATTCACATCCCTGCACACGACACTACTTTCCCCTAACACCCCCACACCACCAAAGAAACACCACAGTTTTATTTTTATCGTGTTGATAAGTGCATTTTGTAGCTGTTGTGTTGTGTAGTGTACAAAAAAATGTAAGTATACAAATGTTTTCACTTTATGTTCATTGTTTATAGCATTATTTATTTATTTATAACAAATTTTTGTAGAAAAAAGAATGGAAGCACAAAAAACGCACAACACTTGTGCAATTTATAAATGTGGGAACAGGATGGCCCCTATATTTAGGTTTCCACATCCGAAACGGGGTCTAGATAGGTTTATGGCATGGGTTAAAGCCTCCAATAACCCAAAATTCGAGGGTTTAACAAATGACCAAATTTATCGGAGAGGGTACATTTGCTACCAACATTTTCGGGCTGAAGACTATGTGCAAGGTACACAAAGGCTGCATCAATCTGCGGTACCAACGATTTTGCCTCCTCGAGGTAAAAACAAATTGAAAGTCACTACGAAACAAATATTAAGACATGTGTACTTACAGATGATACTGTACTTACATCACCACTGGAGGCAAGTAAAATTGATGCGTCCACTGTGGTGCCCCAGACAACTGATCTCATCTTCCTGACCCCAAGGAAAGAATGCCCTGATTTCTACTCCATGGCGAATTTATCACCACGTATTCGACGAACCCCACATTCTCAAAGTATGTAAATATTACAAGTGTTTTACTATAACATGAACTGTTTTCCATTTTATAGGTTCAACTACTACACCGGAGCGTAGAAATATACGCAATAGTGGCATTCAAGCCCGACAACTGAATTTTGGAGGTATTATAATGCTAAAAAATAAATGGCAAAAAAAATAATATTATGACTTACAGAGGAGAATGGGGTCAATGAGCTACCTTGCGCTGGACCTTCAGGGCTACAAAGTAATTCAAAAATCGGTAAGAAACTGCAAAGTTTGATACCATAATTTCGTTATTCCAAAAACAAATTTTCAAACGATTACAACATATAAAAATGTGGTAGATTGTTAAACTTTATCACGTGTTTATAAAACAATCTGTGGTACAGCATAGCGTCATCTCGCGTTTCTACCAACCATATGTCACGCATATGTCATGTATCAAATAGGTGAAAAAGGAGTGGCGTAACTTAAGGTATATTGATATACGTTAGGAGTATTTTTTTTCACCGTGTGATTTTAAATATTTTTGTGAATGTAAAAATAGTGAAAATAAAATATTATTAGTCTCAATAACAAATATTAATTACTTATTTTTAGATTTTGTTGGAAGCAGAAGTACCCCACTTAGACAGACCCGGGATGTTCCTCTGAGAACTACAACAACTCCACGTATGTATTTTAATTCAATGAAAACTCTTATGTTCGTTTACTAATAATTTTTGATTGTCTATCTAATTTTGAGCTAATAACGATAAGCGTAATTTGTTTAAAGATATTAAAGAAACTTATAACTGCATGTAACATAATTTTCATTGAACAGAACTGTACATAAAGTAAAAATGATGCAATTAATTAATACCTGTGTACATTTGCAGGTAAAATTTTGGAGCGCATAGGCGTAAAACAACGGACAACGACCAATTTTACGTCTAACGAAGTAAAACTCTACAGAGAAGCAAAACGCCTGCAAAAACAAGTAGGCCGCTTGCAAAAGCAGGCTGAAAAGCGGAGACATGACCTACAGTCCGGAAGGAAATTTGTTCGGGATCAACGATTGGTTGATCTCGTAGAAGGGTTGACTCCTGTTCAGCAGCGGTTTTTCGAAAATCAGATTAGGAACGTAAATCGTAAACCAAAAGGCAGGAGTTTTACGTTAAAAATTAATTTAGTTTTAAAAAGTCTCAGACTTTATTTTGTTATTTTAATTTAGTGGCTATTTTGTTAAGAATATTTTGCTTGCAACAAATACATGTTTTTTACTTGCATTTTAAAAATCTACACACTTTTATTAAGTTGTATATAGGTAATAATTAGGTGTGTATATAGGAATGTACTATTTGTTCTATTATTTTAAATAAAAGTACAAATGTAAGTTATCAGGGCAAGCCAGTTTCATTATCTCGTTTATCATGCGATTTCTGTTCAAAATATTTTCTTATGCTGTTTTATTTTGCACTGTTTGACTTTTTGGTACTTTTAGAATTTTGTCATATTATGGTATTTTTATTGTTATTTGTAGTAGTATTTTCATTAATTATTCAATGTTACGGTTAAATATATTGTTTGGAAAATATTCCACATTTTTTATTGTACTGTTTGTGTCTGTGTCTTTTTATATGTTGGTTTCAAAGCCTATTTTGGCATTTTGAAACTAACATATAAAAATGCACAAACAATGTTTTCCCTTTAAATATAAATAAAAATCTATTAGCAAAATTCCCTTTCAAATTTGGCGCCGATTTTAGTTCCGTACCACACCAGTAGAGGCGTTCATTAGGAACAACATACAAGCATTGGAGATCGTATTCTATAGTGAGGGTTTTCTATGGTTCCGACTCTCGAGTCGACACTTGTACATCATCGTTCTTCAATAAAGAGTTTTTAAACTCACCGCTCGTTTTAATAGAATTTCGCAACCACCCCGCTACCAACGCTGGTATTGCGAGGGTAAACGACGTCCAGTACCGCCGCCGTTCTTTGGACCGCCACCGACGCCGCCCACGTAACATATTGGCGCCCAACTTATTGGCTTCCTGGCAAAGCCGCCAGGACGAACCCTTGGATGCAGACCAGGTCACAAAAGGCCCGAATCGATGCATCCCCAGCTGCCGCCGCCCCCGAGGCTGCCCCCGAAGGCGGCGCAGCACCCGCTGCACCACAGCTAACCCCAGCTCCACCTGCAAGACTACCGACGCCGACGCCCCTAGAGCGTCCGGTGACGCCGTCCCCAGTACTTTCGCCGCCACCGGCCCGCCCGGCGTCTCCACCGCCGGTCTTACCAACATCGCCGCTCCCGGCCTACTGGAGGCCGCCGCCAACTCAACCGAGATCCCCACAGGTGGCCAATCCGCCGGTGCCGCCCCCAGCGCATCCATGGACGGCCGCCCTGCCACACCTGTGGACCCAAAACACAGTGGCACCACAACCAACCCAACCGGCAGGGCCGCCCCCGACACCAAATACTCGGCCCCTGCCCCCGCTTCCCGGTGTAACCGGGATACCGCCAACCATCGACACTGCAGACTTTCTAAGAGCAGTGCTGCAGCAGATGGCATCCAGCACCTCACAACCAGGTCCCAGCACCGCCACCACCTTCCCAGCGCCAACCTTCCGGAAGCCTTCATCAAGGAGGTGGAGAGTTACATTACCGAGGTGGGCCGAGACCGCCTCACAGAGCGCCACCAGGTCATGATGGCGCACCGACAGTTGAGAGGAACCACCGCACGAAAAAACAAATACTACCAAACCGCCGACACGAACATCGACGCCCTATGGCGCCGCCTCCGGGCGGAGTTCGGCACCGAGGCCAACTTCACTTATCTACTGAGTGGGTTTGCGAAGGCCTCATACAACCGACCAGACCCGCTGGATGTCTTTATTGACAAACAGCGCCGTCTATACCAGCGCCTGTTCCCCGGACACCCGGAGACTCGTCTGAGCCGGGAACTGGTAAAACAAATGCCAGCCAATGTCCGACCAATGCTGGCAGTCGGGGGATATAGCGACGTGGCGGACTTCCACCGCACCGCCGAAGAAGTTCTAGCTTTGACTGAGACGCCTGAAGCTCCCAGAAGGAACAAGCCGGCGGAAAACTGGCGCCGGGCTGTGGCAACGTCTCCTCCGCAGCCCGATGCTTCGTCCTGAAGCACGATCAGCGCCCCCTGCCGCAAGTCGCTGCCCAACTA